CTCCTGAGTCCCAAGATGTCCTTCAGCATATGTGCCGAGGCACAAGGGCTGAGTACATACCTGCTGTACAAAAGAACCAGTCGATAGCGGGAGTGTGGGAGGATGTTCCGTAAGCCTCCCTGATGTGGCGGCACCACATAAGAAAGCTGGGCATCCCCTCGCTGCCAGCTGGGTTTGGGTGCCATATTACTTGGCTCGCTTCTTCCTCTGTCAGTACTTGGCTCGCTTCTTCCTCTGTCAGTAGTCGAATCCCATCTGCCCTTGAATGCGATGGAGCGACCGCCGTCCATACAGTAGGTGCACAGCGTACTGGGATACCTAATGAGGCACAGACAGACGCCGGAGCACATCTAAGAGCCATCCCGGATTTACTCTTTCGAATGCTTTGGCCATATCAGTCAGCGTGACAACTCAATCTGAATCCTGTGCCCATAATGCGTCTTGCATAGTAAGAAAGTTAGAGAGCGCTTCCTTCATAGCCGATACGAGTGCCTGCGATTGATGAAGGAGAGGGCATACCGTGTGCATAGGGTTAGCAAAGACAGCGGAATCAATGATCCTAGCCGCTGTATCGGGCATGTCAAGTGGGCGAAAATTATCTGCATACTGGCTCGAGTCAGCCTTGGGGATAAAGGTGAGTGCTTGTGTGGGTGGGGGCGCCCATCCCAAGATGATGTCATGGAGATGCTGTTCGAGTGCTGCAGTAGATTCAAGCGGCATGTTGCGATAACATTCGTATGGGCACCCATCGGAGCCAGCCGCAGAATCTCCAGTACGCAACAAATGCTGTAGGATATCATCGGAGCTGGGTAAGCGACATCCAGCGGCGCTAGCAGGCCTATACTGTGCCAGGACATGTTCCCACTCTCTGCAATGGTCTGGTGGCTGCTGTTGCCAAAACGCCCTGGTGTGCCTTAGGGCTCGATCAACCTCACCTAGTGATCTGCAAGGTTGGCCTGTAGGAAGTAACACTTGGTTTACTCCAAACGTGCCTTGAGTTGCACGGTGTATGTTCCACCGCGGGTGTCTAGCCGGCAGCTTGGAACCCAACCTCCTGGCGTCTCCAACAGCAGGCGGCGGCGGCGCTAGCTGGGCGACCTCAAGAACTGTAAGCTGCGCCACAACCTGCTGCAGCTCGATCTGCGTTAGAATTCCTGCGCGGCCATCTGCAGTAAAGCTACAATGGCCCAACAGGTGTCGAAACGTGTCGTAGATCGAGGTTGGAGTCTCAAACCTCTCTGCAGTAGGTTTGGAGCGCTGCCGGCGCAATAGGTATGGGAGAGCGCCCAAAAGTCCTTCACGAACGGCCTCGGACTGCGAAGGTAATTCCTGTCGCCACCATAAGTGGAAGAGACTTTGCAAATCTGCGAGTGAGGGCGTGGGCGGCAAGAGGCAAGCCATACGCTGTAATCTGATTTGTGCGGGGTGAGAGCTGCGCGAGGAAATGCCAATCGCAGGCTGCTGAAGGTGTTGCTTGAAGGCTCGTACAGGGATGGCTGAATACTTAACAGCTTGCGCGTCATTAACTAACAGGCGGGCTTTCGAAGCCCTCAAGGTAACAACAGCGTGGCCGCTGGGTAAGTGTTTAGACCAGAAGACCCTGCTATTAAACTTTCTAGCCCCCTCAGCATGCTCATTGTGGAGTATTAGGTCAAGCTGTGAGGAGTGTGGACCGGAGCGATATGTATCAACACGTAAAGACACCTGTCTCAAAAGGCCCTCGGAGACAAGGAGGTCCCAGGCATCAGGTTGTTTGCTACTCAAACCATTGAAGTCGACAAAGAGCTCGAGTCCTGCGTTTCTTGACACAAGTGACACAAGATAGCTTTGTATCGCAGAAGCAACTTCAGTGAGTCGCTGCGGGTGTGCGTAAACAGACAAGATCTCACACTTGTGATCGAAATGCGAGATCTCAGCCGCAAACACAAAGCCCGGGAGGATCTCCTGCTGCCTATCAACCCGAAAGGGGGAAGGCACAAGAATTGAGACACCCGAGCTACCTTCACCGTTGGCAAGCGTGCTGAGAATGGTTGCCCTCGGGAAAGTTACCGCGGCAATTTCGACATCACGTGCCGTCCAGTTGGTCTCCTGGAGGCAAACAGGCCCTTGCTTGAGGAGCGCAGCAATCATCCTGATTTTGACAGACGATGATGTGCTGTCCCAATTGCGCAAGCTGGTGATATTCCAGGTCGAGAGGGTCATGTTTAGTGCCTTACCTACGTGCTCTGCCGGTCGCTTATAGTGGACCACAGCATGGGCAAAGCAGCAAGCATCCATCATGCGTGCGTGAATGGGTTTTATTTTCCGCCGAAAGTGTAGACAAAGTTTGTCGAAAAAGGAAAACAGTGTTTTCACTTGCGTGTGGTTCACACTAGACAAACTTTGCCGTGCAGCTTTCGGCTTGAAGTTGGATCTGTGATCCAAAAGTTTTTGTTAGAGTAGCTTGTAGTGCTCCGCAGCAGTGGGGATTGTCAGTGACAATTCCCCACTCCCATTTTTGTAGGAACTGTCAGTGACAGTTCTCTTTGTTTAGTGTCATGGTAGACCAAGCAGCGCGGGTCTACGCCTCCGAGTCCCCTGAGGCCCCGTACCCTAGGAGGGACGGCGAGGCGAACAGGTTGGCAGCGCCAACATACTTGCAGAGGGTGCGACAGTGTCGCTCCTGTCTTCGGTTTTTGCAGTGCAATCCGATTTACGTTTTAGAACAGGCCATGCGTGAGGAAATGGCACAGCAGGAGATAAGTTATCTCCTTTGGGCTGTGAGTTGTGCCATGCGGGTAGACCCCGCAGTCGTCAGCGACGACCACGAGGCACTCAATGTGCCAGGGGAGGGGGAGACCAAAGTGTGGCCCCCCTTCTGGCCGTTTGCGCAGATGCAGGAGGAGCAACCCGATACGGCGGGCAGTGCCTACCCCATGCGTCGGTATACGATGTCGCAGCGCGACCTGCCCATGCGGCCAGCGGCCACGCCCGGCTGGCCGTACACGGCTTTGTTCGATTGGCCCCCCAGTGGGGAGGAAGAAGATGTGCCCAAGCTCCAGTGGAGGCTAAATTGGGTAGATGGCTTGGAGGGCCATGTTGCTGAGAAGGTTGAAGCCAGCGGCTTCCAGTGGCATCCCGACGGCAAGGGTAAAGGCAAAGGCGGTTGGGTAAAGATCCTCCCAGCGGAGAAGAAAAAGAAGAAAACCAACAAGACTGCCAGTGGCAGTACCGATCCCACCGCCTCGTCCAGCGCCACCCTGCCGTCAGCGTCGGCAGCAGCCACGGACCCTCCCTTGCCGGCGCCAGCGGCCGCCCCGGTTTCCGCTGATCCAGGGAAGCCCCGACAGCGCCACAGCCGCTGCCGCTGACACCGCTCCGCCAGTGGCGGAGCCCGCCGCTATTGAAGTCATTGACACTTAGCAGCCAAGCCGCGACGGCAGTGCCGTTCGCGCAGAGCGCCAACACGGTGGTCGTGTCCAGGCCACAGCGCCGCAACCGCCAGAGGGGTTGGCAGTTCCAACCCGGCGAAGATCCCCAGAATAATGACTGGCGCAATCTTGGGTCAGCGACCGATAACCGGTATCCCGGTTTGCGTGCGCTAGTAGCGCGCGCTCGGCAGGTTTCGCCGTACCTTCGTGTCACAGACGTGCACGAATGGCCTTCTGGGCGACCCCAGGCTCAGAGAGATGGGAGAAATACCCAGAGAGGCGAGGCGACCTCATGTGTTGCATGCCCTGCGAGCAGCCGGGCTGCATCTCCCAGGGCATGGCGATTTGCGGCCGTCGCTGCTCAGTGGGCAGGACCCCCCATAACCATCACGAGTGTGACATGTGTTATCGAGGGGGCCGGGGTCAGCGACCCCGAAATCGCGGCGCCAGAGGCGGCCGGCATTAAAAGCCCTGGGAACTACGCGTCGCTTCTAGCCCCTCAGTGAGGTGGTTACATTGCGGTACAGCGTGCCCCTCCGTGGTGGGCACATCCGATAGATTCGGCCGCCTCCGTTGGAACGTCGCCCACAGGGGCGGGCCGACACACCGTCTGCGTTTTGGCAGCAAAATTCTCCCACTGCTGGTAGCATTCAGTCGTGCGTCACGCGAGCCTGGTAGGCCCTTTCGCTGCGTCAGCGTTCTTTTGCCGAGTCGGTCTTCAAGCAGTGCTTTCCTCCCGCAGCCGTTTTCAGCTTAGCAAGCACTTTTGCAGCAAGCATAGGCTAACCCCACACCTCACATCCTGACCTCCCCCCTACGCTTTTACCCCATTTCTCTAACCACCTAATAAACCGACCTTCCTGATACAACCCAAAAACCAAAAGCACTACCTACATACACCACCTTACCACAATCCTGACCCACAAAAACCGAAAGCATAGGCTAACCCCACACCTCACATCCTGACCTCCCCCCTACGCTTTTACCTCAATTCTCAACCCGCCTAACATTTCAACCCTTAAATCCTTCAAAACACAAAGCACCTCCCAACAATCTACACAACAATCCCGAAACAAAGCAACCTACCAAACCCAATACAGCAATCCAAAACACCATAACCCAAAGCGCCTAAACAATACTTAACCTAATCCATAAAATAACCAATATCCTAATATGAGGTGTGGGGTAAGACCCTAATAGAAAGAAACCAAAAGATTATAACCCCCCACAACACAGAAAACCACCCCCAAAAATATTTATCCCTGAACCACGTCCGAAGTGCTACGTGCGGCTTCTCGGTGCTACAACATCAACAGCGGAAAAGGTCTGCCTGGCTTGTTTATCGGACCGCAACAGAAAGCTAGCCTTGCCCATCAGCGCATACAAGCCGGAAGCCCAGTTTCAGCGTTCGACTCGAACCGCAGACGAGCGGCTCAGTGCGCCATAGCACTTGATCTGACTTTCATGCGCGTTCTGAGCCAAAGATTTGCTCGGATTTGTATTTGTGCCGTCGGTCATCTAATCTGCAGCCATGTCGTGTGGCCAGACGGCTTTGTGGCACGCATGAAAGCTCCTTCAAAACCTCTGACCATGCGAGGGTGTCAGGCACAATCAGCGGAAGCATGGGAAGAGCTAGCGGACGAACTGGCCAAAGAAAATGACCAAGAAAGAATGCGCGTCCTGGCTGCAGAGATGAAGGCGCAGACCCAGGCTGCAGAGATGAAGGCGCAGACCCAAGAGATGAAGGTGCAGATGCTGGAGGAGAAGATGAAGGCTGTGACCAAGGATCTTGCGGCCATAAAGGGGGAACTGACTGCCCGCGCCATGCTTCAGCGCGCCGTGGGCAAAATCAGGCAGGAGGACTCGGTTTTTGGGAGCACATCGTCAATCCTACACGGGTTGTCGAATCACTCAGGCGATATGGCGAACTTCTTGATCCGTTCTGTTCAGGAGTGCACGCCTCCAGGCACCATTCCTGGCGTGTTCTTGAAGGACATATTCAAGCAACTGTCAGGTCAAGTCCATTACCCTCGGTGGTACGGACCTGGCATCAGAGCGAGCCGCTCCCTCAATGCAGCGCAGATCTGCGTTCTTCAGAAGCTCGCCCAGCAGGAAGGCTTCTTGCTCATCACAGACGATGACGAGGATGACTCAGAGGACATCTGAAGCATTGAAGAGGCGATCGAGTGAAGTTCCGCGTTCAGGCGCAACAGCCCAAACGACATACAAGATTGCCCTGCAAGTGTCGCGTTGACACTGCCTGCGGCTGAGCCCTGATGTAAAAGACCGGACTGAGAGCGCGACCGAGAAAAATGGCAGTGTGATGTGCCAGCAGACTTGGGTGCAGTTTCGGCAATGCTTCTCAGCTCTAAGCCCCTAAGCCCTAACCCCTTGCCCCAAAAAACGCCACTTAGCACCCCGCCAGGTCATCATCTACATCAACGGCACTCACCCAGACAACTTCGTGGCACGAGTGCGCCCTTAGGGTTTAGGGTTTAAGTTTAGGCTTTTTTCGTGAGCCCGTCGGCTCTTCCTATCATTGAGAAGCGAAGCCGAAATGCCGGCTCTTCCTAACATTGAGACGCAGAAGTCGCAAAGTGCGGCAACTTGGGCTTTTAGGGTTGATGCACATATTGCTGCGGAAGCGTTCCAAGTGCACTGTGTTTGCTTCTGAGAGAGCAGGCACAAGCGCAGGATGAGGGCATGCGCAGCTGTGAACCGTCCATGGCTGCAATTGCTCGAGCAAACCCAGCAGTGCTTTTCTGTTCGCCATGTGTCTCCCACGCGAAGAGGTGGTTCTGCCAGGACATGATCCTGAGTTGTAAGCTGCGCCTGCTGAGACTAGGAACTGGACCGAATTGGGCGATCGTTTCTCTGCCGCCTCTCAGGAATGGATAAGGGGAGTGTTCTTCCTTTTGGTTCAGTCGTTAGTAGTTTGCATGGCTGTCGCAGCTCGGCCACCCGACAATACCGGAACAAACGCAGAATGATCCGGCACATCCTTACGTTGCGACTTCGAACAGTTCTGGAGAGGAGAAAGTGCAGCTCAGACTCGCAGGCGAAGGGACCGGCCCAATCTGCGATTAGCTCACTTGGAGGAGCTCTTGATGGCTTACTCCGGGCGTCTTCGCTGCCATGTGCGCGGGCTGTCAGGTCAGCTCCTAGTGGCCAGCGCGCTGCTGGGAGGTGCAGGGATCTCTTTCCAGTGCCGTTGCTTTCAGATTGGCCGCAGGCCGCACCCAAGCCGGAGACAGAAGTGGAGACGCATGTTTTCTTTGCAAACTTTTGCATCGGTGCCCTCAACCACCTCAACGGGGGCATGCAGCATGATGCTCTTCCGCTAGCTGCGGGCCGGGCCTGCAGCCTTGCCCAGCAGTCCGCTGTAGAGCATGTGTGCTCGCGTGTTCAGGGGTTCCTGTCGCGGATTGGCCCCCAGCTTGGTGACTGGAAAGGGGCTTTTGCAAGTTTCGAGAACCAACATGCTGCGACCTATGAGCCAATCCGTGGCGATGCTGTGGATCTGCCCGTGACTGCGGGGACGTGTGCGCCTGACAAGCTCATACCTCCCGCTCTTTGGCAAGAAGTGCAGGACCCCGGCAACCTTTTCCCCGAAGCAGCAGGTGTCGTTGACTTGACCGGCTTCCCGCCAGACATGCAGGACATGCGGAGCAGGCAGGGCTATGTGCGCCTGGTGGCTCGCGAACTACAGTGTGGCAAGCTCCGCCTGCGAAGGCGTGCGAAAGCAGCCGCTCGCGTCTTTGCCGCTTCCAAGACAACTGGCCGACAGCGAAAGATTTGGGATGGTGGCTTGCTTTCGGAAGTAGCGAAAAGGCCACCAAAACCAGCTCGGCTTGCTAATCCGGCCTCCTTTCTGGACATAGTTGTGCAGCCTGGTGAGGCATTGTACATGTCAAAACGGGACGCAAGCACTTACTTTGACGCTCTGGCTTCGCCAGAGTCGCTTTGGGAGTGGTTTGGCCAGGAGCCCGTGTTCGTGCACGAGTTGTTGTCTGCGGGCTGCCTAGGCGAGAAGGAGCTGCAGGCCGCTTTGGACGATGCAAGTGCATCAGAGCTTCTTCCGGGCACTCTCCTCTATCCGGTCAACACTGTATGGCCTATGGGATTCAGCTGGTCATCGTGCATTGCTCAAGCTTGTACCCTGGGGTGTGCTCTTCAAGCCGGCGTGCAAGAGGATTGCATTCTCAGTTTGGACGATCCTCTGCCGGAGTGCCAACGCGAGCTCTGCATGATCGCCACTGACGACACCTTGCTCTTCCACCGCGATACCACGCAAGGGCACTCCACACTGCAGAAGCTTGACGAGAGTTTCCAGGCAAACGGCATCCCGCGCAACCAAGCCAAGGATGTCACTCTTCAGACTTGCATGACAGGCTTGGGCTGTGATCTGTCCAGCCAGCCACCAATGGTGCAGCCAGAAAGCTCTAAGCTGTGTCGACTGGTGCTTGGCTTGTGCGACCTCGTGCAGCAACCTCGGTGCAGCCCTAATGGTCTGAGTCGCTTTCTTGGGCTTCTCCAGTGGTTCTTTCAGCTGCAAAGGGGAATGTTTAGCATTCTGGACCGCAGCTATGCTTTCGCAAGATTGGATGCTCCCAACGAGAAGCGAACGCTGCCGCCCGGGGTGCAAGATGAGCTGCTCACGTCCCTTGGTCTGCTTCCTTTGCTGGCAAACTCGCTTGACAGGCCTTTCTTACCACAGCTATTGGCTTGCGACGCTTGCCCAGAGTATGGTTTTGGAGTGCGTGGTCTCCAATGCGGTGCCAGACGTGTAGAGCAGATTGGGAGGCTAGCCGAACGCAGAGGAGACTACATTCGGTTGGTTCCCGGACCAGATGACAAACCCGAGGTGCAGCGAATTGGGCAGCCTCACAGACTTCCGTACCTGCAAAGCGAGTTCAGTACACTGATTTCTTGCAAGGCGAAGCGCCCCGGTCACGCCAGCCTACTTGAATGCCACGGTGTGCTGCTGACCGTCAAGTGGGTCGTTCGGAACGCTCAAAGGCATCATCATCGCGTGGTCATTCTGGTTGATGCCAAGGCTGCCATTGGAAGTGTCAGCAAGGGGAGAAGCAGTGCTAGAGCTGCTAGAGCACTGCGCAGAGTCTTGCGGTCCATCGCTGCTCACGCGCTTGCTGCCGATTTGCTGCTACGTTTGGTGTACATACCGTCGGAGTCGAACCCTGCCGATCTTCCGTCTCGTGGAGTCCGACGAAAACGACCTCACCCTGCCACAGCAGCCAAGCAGCGAGCCATGCAGCGTAAAGCGCAGACACCGCGCTTGAAAACAACGCTTGAGTGAACAGGGCACTGCTGGCACCTGCACACTCGGCCACTGACGCTCTTCTTCACAGGACCGGGCACTTTAGCGACCAGCCCCAATGAAATGGGGGCTCGGCTTCGACGAGCAGATGGCAATGCTCGGTGCTGTCTTGTGTTGAGTGGGCCAACGCGATCTGTGCCAATCGCCAGAATGCGCTCTGAGCATTTCCTTTTCCCTGATAACTCGGCATGCATGCTTCTTTTGAATGAATTCCTTTTCTCGGCCACATGTGGGAACTTGTGTCCAGGGCGGGGAGTTTGGCAAGTCTTCTTCGGGCTTTCGGCCCTCTCCAAGTCCATTTTTGAACCGAGTTCTCTAAACAGCAGTGGCCAAGTGCAACAAAAGCTCCAGTCCGTCAGCAAATGCCTGAAAGCGGCCCGGCAGCAATGATGCACATATTGCTGCGGAAGCGTTCCAAGTGCACTGTGTTTGCTTCTGAGAGAGCAGGCACAAGCGCAGGATGAGGGCATGCGCAGCTGTGAACCGTCCATGGCTGCAATTGCTCGAGCAAACCCAGCAGTGCTTTTCCCCACCCGCCCTCCCTTAAGGGGTTGGGCAAGTCTTCTTCGGGCTTTCGGCCCTCTCCAAGTCCATTGTTGAACCGAGTTCTCTAAACAGCAGTGGCCAAGTGCAACAAAAGCTCCAGTCCGTCAGCAAATGCCTGAAAGCGGCCCGGCAGCAATTTTAGTTTCGGGTTGGAGGCCGTCAGTGCGAGCGCTGATAGTCCCTTAATATCTTGAGCACAAATTTTCTTGAAAATCGGGCTTGACTTTTAAAGAAAATGGCTGCCAGAAGTTTTCTGTCAGTGTGAGCGCCAAGTGGTGCTATTTTGCATCTTCTTGTCATCCGCGCTCGCCATCTCAAGGCATCTTGAAGTCGGTGTGCACAAGCATCTGTGACACTATGCTGTAGCTCCACGAACAAGCCACAAGTCTTGCACATGTAAGGTTGCAGAAATTTTTCTCTTGTGCCGTCTGATGGACTTCGGCGACGCGCTCGCCGACGGCTCTTCTGGCCGTTCCCAGGACAGCTCTACTAGCACTCGTGAGCTTCACAGCCAGCACATTTACGATCTCCAGCTGGAGGTCAATGCCCTGAGACTTCAGGTCCAGTCTCTCCGGTCCGATTTGCAAAGCTTGGAGGAGTCCCTTGCGCGTGCCTGGGTGAACCAGACTCAACGTCTCTCGTGGTTGGAAACCGTCATTCAGAGCCTCCGAACTGCCTGCGGGGCATTTCTTGAACCGCGTGAGCAGTCTGCTTAAGATCATGAATGCCTTCAGTGCCGGCATCCTGCAACAGCTCTCTGGTATAACCCGTGAACAACTTGCCTCAGGCCCAGCTGCCTCCGTGCCTCCCGCGCTTCCGCTTGCGCCCATCCCTGACCTTGGAGATGCCTTCCCTGCCAGTCCGGCTCCTGCTCCCACTTCTTCGGATAATTGGGGGTTTGAAGGATTTACTGGTGACCTTGAAGGGTTTACTAATGAATGACTTCGCAGCGCCTGCCGGTGACTTTGAAGGGTTTACCAATGGCTTCGCAGCGCCTGCCTCTGAAGTCGAAGTTCCAGAGCCATCTCACGAGTTCCCTCCTTCCCCTCCCGTAGGGTTTAATCCTAGTCACTTCGAGGCCCACTTGGCATCCCTTTGCGAGTCAGACGAGCAAGCTTCCTCCTTCTCCCTTTTTGGGTCGGGAGGTGAGGACACTGCCTGGTATGAGGATGTTAGGGCCACAAGTGAGTCGCATTTTTCACTGGTGCCGAGTGCCATCAGAAAAGACCCAGAAGAGGAGGTGCGTCCTGGTAGGATTGCTCGTGCTGTGGGTGATGAGCGCTCACGGACCGCCGTGGCATCTCCTGCCTTGCCTTGGGAGAGGGGAGTCTTTAGGGCAATCTTCGGGGATGAGGACTTATCTAATCCCTTTGATAACTTAGTGCTTAGGATGCCTGGCCCCCTAATCCCAGCACATGTGCCATCTGCAGAACCAAAGATCCCTGAGCCCCCTATGCCCTCCGCTGACATTGCAAGCAGAGCCTTCAAGTCTTTCAAGGACGTACACGACGAGCGTGATATGGTCATGGACCGAGCAGTGTGCAAGTTGCAGCACATAATTTGCCGCGCGGATGTTGATCGTTTGTCGCCTGAACTTGCGCAAGCGGCCTCCTCCGAAAACGCAAGAGAAGAGGTGTTTGGCATCATGTCAGCCTGTGTTGGCCTTCGCAGTCCGCACACGGTTGTGAAACGGGCCAACGCGATTCTTGCATACTTGAGATGGTGCGACAAGGAAGCCACCATCGCAGCTTGCCTGCGTACGGTATTATTTTCACGTGGAAAGTTTGATTTTGAAATCTTATTTCAAAATCAACGCTTGAGTTTTCAAACGTCTCTTGATGTCAGTCTGCAACTGTTGAGTCATGCGAAGATGCGAAATTCCAGTTGCCGTTGTGCTCTGAGGTAGAGCGCAATTTTTGTTTTCTGGGCCGCTAGAGGTTCCTAGTTCTTTCTAGCAGGCTCCGTGACCCCTGTAACCCGAGTTTTCGCCCTTAGGGCGTGTGCACGCTGGTGGCCGCGGGCTGCCAGCAGATGGACATTGACTCCTCAGACTACGAGGGGTCTGAGGCCAGTAGCCTCTCTTTGGTTAGCCGGCACGTTAACCGCTTGCAGCTCGATATCAACACTTTGAGAGCGCACGTTGCCGCGTGCGAGCGGCGCATCAGGGCCCTGGAGCAGCAGGCTCCCCCTCCGACGCCTGCGCCGGTGCAGTTTAGTTTTCTTGGCTCTTTCTTTCAGTGTTGTCTTGGTCGCCAGCTGCAATGAGCGGGCATTCTGCTGATGGGGATTCTCAAGCTTCCAGCAGTTTTCAGGTTGTGTCCGCCTCTGCTGCTGCTTCTGGTAGCGCAGGGGGTGTGGCGGTAGCAGCTTCAGAGTCAGACTTGTCAAATCGTCAAGAGAGCATGGATGTGACGGCAGCAGCTTCAGAACCAGACTTGTCAAAGCTTCAAGAGACCATTCGCGAAGCAATCTTCTCATGCAGTGAGCCGCAGGTTCTTCAGTTGCCTTGGGAAATGCCGGGTTTGGATTTGATTTTTGGCAAGGGTGCTTTAGATCAGATTCTGCCTGCTGAGCCTCCCAAAATTGTGTTCCCAGTCCCTACAGCGGCAGATGCTCCGATTGAGGAACAGGCCAAGGCTGCAAAGAGGGTTAAGACTGCCGCTTTTGGGCAGCCTTGCTTCCGTGGGTGTGTGAACTTCAAGAACGTCCTTTCGGATGCTGAGCTTGAGGCTGGAGCGTGGCAGAGATCTCTTGAGAAGTGGCATTTTATTTTGACCTTAGACCCTTCGGTTTCGCTTGCGCGAACTGTTTGGCAGGAAGAAGGTAGCCACTGTGAGTAAGCGTGCGGCATCATTGCTTAAGTACGTAAAGTTCATGCAGGAGTGTCGGCCCTTTTCAGGCCCCTTCCCTTTCTCCACTGAAAAATGTGATGAGTATGTCAGGCACTTGAGGGCTTGTGATGCCAAAGTCGGAGCTGTTGACGGGTTCACTGAATCGGTGAGATTCGCGATCCACGTTGTAGGAGTCAGTTGCCGCGGGCCTTCCGACAAAATCTTTAGCCCTTGGTCGATTGGTCTTAAAGGCCTCATGCAGTCGCAGAAGGCAGAGCGTGTGAGTGCACTTGTCTTGTCTGTGGAGCAAGTCTCTTTCCTCGAGGCGTGCTTGGGCAACACAGAGCTTGATACCAAGGACCGTTATGCCTGTGGCGCTTTCTTGTTTTGCATCTACAGCAGAAGCCGAGTCGGTGATGTGAAGAAAATCCACAGGTGTATAGTGGATACTGTGGACGCAGCTGGGGAAATTCAGGGTTTTCTTGAATGTGGTACTCGGGTGCACAAGTCCGCAAGGCAAGCAGCCGTGCAGGGAGTATCTATGCCTTTAGTAGCTCCTGTCTGGGGTGTTGGACCAGAGCCTTGGGGACCCAAGTTCGTGGCAATCGCTGCTGAAGTTGGTTTAGCGTTCGATTCAGCTCGTGCGGGGCCTCTTCTTCCCGCACCGCTGGAGTCAGGCGAGTGGAGCCAGAGAGCAGTGACCACAGATGAGGCTGGGCAGTGGCTGCGTGCGTTACTCAGCCGATGCAACAAATGCTCCGATGGTGTGTCAGGGCATTCGCTTAAGGCTACCACTCTTGATTGGTGCGGCAAATATGGAGTCAGCGAGCAAGCTCAAACCCTTCTTGGTCACCACGCCCTCAAGGGTTTGTCTATGTATGCTTATATGCGGGACAAGCTTGCGGCACCGCTGAGAGCTTATGACGGAATGCTCCGAAGCATTCGGCATGGCCTTTTCATTCCAGATGCAACTAGATCCGGGTTATTCAAAGCTGAAGGTGAGGCTCATGTCATGGAGCCCAGCCACGCGCCCAGCCTCAGCACGGCCCCTCCTCACGTGCGTGATGGTGGGGTTTTCGGAGACGAGACTCCTGTTGGGTCTGAAGGCGAGGCTCAGCACTATAGCAAGGCTGCATGGACGCCTGAACGAGAAGCTCAGTCTTTCCTTGATAATCAATTCACGGGTGAAGCTGAGGACGAAGCTGATGGAGTTGAGAGTCGGGCCCCTGAGCCCGCGCCAAGTTCTTCGTCTTCCTCATCGTCGAGCGACTCGGACAGTTCTGATGGGGAGCCCGGGACTGACTGGATCGATGCCTTCGATTCTGGGCTCGGGAATTCCCTTGAGAAGTCTAACCTCTCCGCGCCTGACATGGAATTTTGGAGACATGATAAAACTATGACCATCCACTCCATTGCGGTTGGTGCTTCTGGAGATGTGTTCACTTGTGGTCGTAAGAGGCTGGCGGTCAACTTGTTGATAGCGTTTTAAAATTCTTGATTTGAAAAACTCGGGGGAGTTTTGTTTCTGATGAGACTTGGTGCAGCAGAATACATCTCCATGCAGTGTGAGCCACAGTGGCTCAGAAGAAAAATTTTGATCGAGGCCTTCTAAGCTCCTAGACATTCTAGCAGGCTCCGGGTGCTATCACGAGGTGCAGCCTCCTTGTATGAGCCATACCTCCGCCACCAGTGCGGGTTCGTCGGTGGTGCACCCCAGCTCCCTGCGGGCTGTTGAGGATCTGCTACAGGATCAGATCTCCTCTTTGCAACTTCGGGTTACGGCTTTAGAGTTCCGCTTGCACGGGCCGCTTGAGTCTGCCAGCCCCGCCTCGGGCTCTTCTAGTGTAGTGCTTGGGTGCTTCGAAGACCTCTTCGACGATTCTGCACTAACTGCCAACCTTTGGGCCTTTCTGCCCTGCCAGGAGCGCTTGCTGCTTCTGCAGACATCTTGGTTTGTGAACACCCAAGTCCTGCCTCAGTTGCTTTGTGCTGCTGCCACCCAGGGATGGCCGCACCAGATGTCTCCGCCTCCTCAGATCCCGCACTTTCCTCGGACAATGTGGGGGTGGCTTCAGGAGTTGCAGGGGTGTTGTTGGAGTCGGGACCGTTGAGTGTGGGTCCCATAGCTTTGGAAGACGGAGAACCGCAGCTTCCGGTCGCTTCCGAAAGCATTCCAGCCTCTTTGGAGGATGCACAGGGCCCTGGCGAGGAGCTGCCGGGCGATGTACCTTCTCAGCCGGCCGAGCCGGCCCGGGAAGAGCACTTGGCAAATTATGATTTCGATGAGCAAGAGGAGCTAGAGTATTATCGAGAATACGACGATGGGTTTAGTGAGGCCTTGCGAAACCTTTCCGCTGATGCAGAAGCTGAGGCTGCTCTTGACAGGGCGCTCCACAGTCTTGTAGGTAGTGAGGAATGCATGAGCGAAGTGACCGAACAGGTGTCGGCTTGCAGTCGTGAGGCCGATCCTGTCTTTGTACAAGAGCAGGTCATGAACGAGCTTGTACGGCACCCAGTGCCGCCACGAGGATTTCAGCTTCCGTGGGAGCGAGGTCCCATGAAGAGCATCTTTGCTGATAACTTGCCGAGCTTGCCAAGCTTGAAAGGGATGCCAAGACGTAGCATGCCGGAGCCCCCCCCCGCTGTGATTGCACCGAGTCTTTCGCCAGCAGCTAAACTGCCCTCGCCGGCCGAGCCAATCTTTAAGCTGGTTGTGAAGGTTGTTAAGGATGTGGGATATCTTGAACGCCGTGAGGAGTTGCTTCAGGTTGGAATCCACAAGTTGGCCATCAACTTAGAGCTAGTGGGTAATGCCTTTGTTCCCCCGGAACTTCTGCACCAAGGGCAGGTCGATGCTGAGTCGCTGGAAGCGGCGATCGGGGTGAGGAGTCCTCTCACACTAAACAAGCGTGTAGGCAACCTTGCGAATTACTTGAAGTGGTGTATGGAGTCGTGTGTTGAGAGTGGCTATTACCTACACGAGGCCACCGTGTGGAAGTACCTCAGCCACCTGAGACATTCAGGCTCGCCCCCGTCGCGAGGAGCCGACTGTGTATCCATGTTTCGGTTCTTACACCATGTGTTGGGTCTGGACCTTACGCACATCCTCAAGAGTAGACGTGTCAGCGGAATCATTGAACAGATGCGCACCGGCAAGGGTTGGATTAAGCAAGCATCGCCCCTCACGGTGAGTGAGATCCTGTTCCTGCACCGGCTGCTGGAGCAGCGGGAGTTGCACAAATACGACCTTGCGATGGTAGCATACATACTCTTAGCCTTATATGCAAGAGCCAGACATTCTGACCTGGCGGATGTTCAGAATGTCACGCATGACCACTCACCGGCGGGAGGATTTCTCATCATTGAGTTGGGTCAGCACAAGACGCGCCGTGCACAGGCGCGTTGCAGAGAGTTGTTGCCGGTTCTCATCCCGGCCATCGGGGTGCACGGACAGACGTGGCTGAATGCAGCTCAGGAGTGTTTGGAAGATGCAGGCTTGAAGCTAGAGGGTGAGTTGAGGGGGCCCATCCTGAGGGCCCCCGCCAACTCATATGGCGACACCCTTTGCCTGCGTGAAATCAGGTCACATGAGATCACAAATTTCCTCCGGAAGATTCTTCAGCCAGTGTCGAGCAAAGACAGGTTGTCATGTGTGTCATCGCATTCACTGAAACGAACCCTTCTCTCTTGGGCGGCAAAGTTTGGATTGAGTGACGATGTTTGTACGGTGTTGGGCCGCCACACTTCGGCGACCGTCAGCTCACGAGCCTTGTATGCTATGGATCTTGCCACGGCTCCCGCGCGGGAGCTGCAACGCATGTTATTGGAAGTGGCTGCGAAGCGCTTCGCACCTGATGCTGCCCGGTCAGAGTATTTTCCCTTGAGGTCACAAGCTCTCGAGTCGAATGCAAGGACGCTGCATGAGCAGGATCAGGCCCTTCGTCCCTCAGGCTCGGACGTGAAAACTGAAGTCGCTGCTGTAGCGGGTCCCATTGCCGACCTACCTGGTCCAGTCTGTGTAGACTCCGACTCCGAATCATCATCTTCCAGTGAGAGCTCCAGCTCTGCATCCAGTGATTCGGGGGAAGCCCCCCCCAGAATGCCTGCCAAGGTACCAAGGCTGGACGCGGTGTGGCCGCGTCACGAAGTTGCTGTGCATGTGAAGTCTCGCATCGCACACAGGATCGTCTTCACCTCGGAGGGAGGAACAATGGTCTTCGCTTGCGGGCGCTCAGGGTCCCAAAATTTTGAGAAGCTCCAAGGCTCACGAGAAGCAACGGCATTTTGCCAGACATGTCGGAAAGCCGACAAGTAGGCTGCGAACTGCAGCACAGGATGTAGCCTCAGGGCTAGTGAGTCCTTCCAAGGGGAAGTGAAAAGATGGTGTCCGTGTGATGCCAGAGGGGAAGTGTGTCATCTGTTGAGCTGAACATGTGCAGGGGGACGAACATGTGCAGGTAGCTTGACGTGTATTGTGAGTGAGGTTTGAGTTGCTTGTGCATGCGCAAGTTTTGGCAAAGATGGTTCAGACATGTCGACTGATGCGAATCAGAGAAACACCTGAAGCTTCCCAGAAACCCTCAATTGCATTACATGTGTTCTTTGATGGATCCTAGTTTGTTCTTCGTCAAACCTACGTAGCTTTCTTTCTGAACCATGTCCGCTTACCTTGACTCCACTGCCCACTTCGAGCAGCGATGCAAGGCATATGGCATAACCTCCGAGTCCATTACGAAGCTGGCAGGCATCGGGGTGAAAACCCTGGGCCAGGTCGCCCATGCAGTCGGAGTGCCAGGGCAGGATATTCAGGACTCCCAAATCAAAGAATGGGTCGATGCAAACTTGACTGGCCTGAGTGTTGGCGAGGTTCTGAGTTTCAAACGTCTTCATTTCGAGGCCCAAACCATGCTCATAGCACAGCTGCGGCAAAGCATTGTGGATCCCGATGCCAATAGTCGACAGAAGCTTCCGGAAGCCGAGCGTGATCAGCGAGTAAAGCTTTTTAAAGA